GCTCAACTTCTCGGGAACCAAGGTAACGTGGCCCAATAAAAGAGAAAGTGTTGACCGGAGAGTGCGAAAAGCGAGTGCCCCTAGCATTGCTCGAAAAAGAATTCGAAGGGTAGACCGTTAGATTACAAAGGACACATTTGATTCCGCAAGGTCCACAAACCAAAAGCATTGTGCAGACAGATTGTTTGATGTGACTGGAGACGGATTACACATTAAAAATTATGTCTAATTTTCTGGTGCAATGGGAAGGCATTATCAATCTGTGTACCAAAATTAAATCCATATTTTATTGAGGAGAAAAAAAAAATTCAACAGCCTCTATTTCAAATATCTTTAATATTAATAAAAAAATTTGACTTACGAAAACAAATTGTTTTTCCTTTTATCTATAATTCTTCCATGATTCATGAACATGAAAAAAAAGAAAAAAAGAAAAAAAAAATACAATCTTAAGATCGCCGCTTAATTATAGACAAGCTTTAAGGACTAAGGAGACACTTCACGTGATATTGTCAAGATGTTTCCAATCATAATAGAACTTGCGTTATCAGATATGGAAGGACCCCCACAAAATGTAGTCCTCAATGACCCCAGTTTGAACAAACAAGTTATCTTAAACTTTGTGATAAAGAAATTTTATTTATTTAGGATTTTTTTGGTTTGATTGTTAAAATAACTTGTCACTATAGTTGTTAGTTTATAACAAATACAGCTGTTGATATATATTTATTATTTAGTTATTTGAAATCAATTTATAAAATGATGTTTTAAGAGACCTAAGTAGTTTTTTAAGTAAAAAAAAATTATAAACTAATAAAATTAATCAAGCAAAAACATATTTAATCTTTTTATGTGATGTTGCTTAATTATAATATTAGTCAGTTAACAAAATTTTCAAGATTTATTTATATACAAAAATAGTCAATCTTGGCTCTCATAAAAAATTAAAATTTGAACCTTAAAAATACCACCTTTCAATAAATATTTTTAAAACCAATCATTAGATTTAATATTCTATTCACGTAAATTATATATATTAATTTTTAGATTGATGGAATATATCTAATTAGTTTATTAGTTATATAAAGTTTAATGCTATTAAATATATATTAGAAAATATAATTTTTAGATGTTAGATTAACTTAAAAACCAACATGCATGATTTATATTAATATTATTAAATCTAGTAACTAGCTTTTAAAAATATTCATTAGCAAGTGGTGTCTTTGAAGTTAGGATTCTAATTTTTTATAGAAATTGGGATTGATATGTACCATTCTCTTTATATTATATGGATTGGTTCTAATTGGATTTTTTTTTAATCTTAAGTTGTATAATTAGAGGTAATAATAATCAGTATCTAGTTTGATAGTAAAGTCACCTGTACTATTAGTCATAGATCCAAAGTTTAATCCCTAGTCTTTTCATATATATATAGATATATAAAAAGAGAGAGAGAGAGGTAATTCTTTTTTATCTCTTAATTCATCTCGCCAACATATCATGTGATTCAAACTTAAAATTTTTTATTTTCACTTAAAAAAAAATATTTCTACTTCTTTACTTAGGTTGTTAGCAATTAAATTTTATTTTTTTTATCTTAGGTTATATAATGAAAAACAACTATTTTTCATCTTTTAACTCATCTCTTAACTCATCTTTTAACTCATCTCTTAACTCATTTTTTAATTCATTTTACCTGCATGCCATGCAATTTGAATTTAGAACATTTTATTTTTATTAAAAAGATCTTATTACTGAATTATTTTAGTCATTGACAATATTACAAAAGCAATTAAATTCTTAATCTTTTATTATTACTTAATAAGACTCGAGTTTACATGTGAGGGGACCTTCCATCAATTAAGAAAAAAAAATTGTGAACTAATAGTTGCGGGTTGTATGATAGAGAATGGCATTTACCAGTAAGGATTCTAGATGTTTTTAAAAAATTATTCGGAAAGGATTCTAGATATTTAATAAAATCATGAAAAGACTTTATATGCAATAAAAAAAAAAGATTAATGCTTCTCCGTCTCACCTCTAAAAAAATTAAAAAAAAAAGATAAAAAATATCTTAATTTATATTTTAAAAATAAGATATTTTAATTTTTTTAATATGTATTTATTAAAATGACGTAATTTTAAAATAATATTTTTCTTAATTTTTAAGAGATAAAGTGAATAAGCATGGTTCTCATAAAAAAAACAAAAACAAAAATAAAAATCAAAATACTTTATATGACTCAACGGACACTAATGGTCATAAAACCTCAACTTAACAATTCCAAATAATCCAAATCCTGGTCAGTCAAAAAATGTGTCCTTTACAGATGGCCCAATTTCTCTTTCCAGCGCAATCAACGCAATAAACCCTAACTAATCAATGGGAATGGGAAACGCCAGCTGCTATGTGCAGTTCATATCCCACTAAAGAATTTTGATGGGGACAACTCGTTTTTGAGGCTTTTCTGATGATTGGCAATAAATCACTGAATGCAACTAAATTATATGTTGCATTTATACTGTATGTCAATCAAATTAATTATATGATATGAACCCTAATTATGGTTTTTACCCCATTAAAAAGGAAAAAAAAAGGGAGGAAACTTTGGGATTGCGATTTACAATTGACTCATAAATATTATAAAGGAAAAAAACCAACACCAAATTAGAGAAAAGAAATACCCATGTCCCAGATTCGTCAGAGAAACATAATGTTTCTAAGACTTTTGCAATCCCTTTCTAGGTAGCTAGTCGATATAATGATTCAAAGAACTTTGCATTTCCTCTCCTTGTCATTGAAATAGTTATGCACTATTTTGTCAACCATTATAAGTAATTCTCAGTAATTTTATTCTTTTAATGAAAAAGTAAAAAAATCTAAATTTGAGTTTTTATATAATATAGATTGGATATACAAATGAATAATAACTAATGTATTTATAAATGCATAAAATGGGTTTATTTTTTATTATAGAATTTAAAATTATAAAAAATAGTGATACATGTCAACAATCTAAATAATTAAATAATAATCTTCCTCTAATAAAAATAAAAGATCTTAAATTTAACTTATATGATATATAGATAAAATAAATTATAGAATGAAAAAAAGTTATCTATTATTGTATAACCTAAAATAAAAAATACAATAATACATTTGTATCCAAAACAAAAAAATTAGTGATACATTAGTTTTCTTTTTTTTTTTTTTTTTAAAGCAAAATAAGTAATACATTTGAATGTGAATAGACTCAAGTTTCAAATTCTAGCGGCTAGCACTGTAGACTGCACCAGTGCAAAACAACCTATGACTAGAGGTTTTCAATTAGTAAGTAGATTATAAGTACGCAACATCAATGCGAGGGACAGTCCAGCAATTAGAAAATCATTGTGAGGATTAGGCTTTGCAAAAGATGTCCCAATAGAAAGTATCAATTTGTTTAGTTGATAAAGGCGTTGTTTGCAGTTGTATAAGCATAAGGGACGAATCCCCTTTTTTATTTGTTTTCTTTTCATCTTTTCCGTTTAAGTGAAAGTGCGTTTGCTATCACTCATGTGGTTTAAGTGGTTACATTTTTTTTTAGAAATAAAGTTATAATATTTTAATAATGTAAAGTTTGAGTTTTACGTTTAATATTATTTTATCTATTAAAAAAACAGATATTAAAATTATCAATATAATTTTTACTTTCAAAACAAAAGTAGAAGTGTGTTTTTAAATCAATTTATATATAATTTAAAATTTG